ATTCTAGTACTTGGAATAACAACCAGCTCGTTATGACTTTCTAGAGGTTCAAGAGGTCGAGAGGCTTGCTGGATCTCAGGGGAAGGGAACCCAGGGTAGGGAACCTGTGGAAAAGGTGTGATTCCTAAGTCTCACAAGATGGCAACATTCAAGGGAAGAAATGTGGAGTATATGTGCTCGTATCTGATTTGACTGGATGGGCAGATACACTTCAGTGAAACTGTTAGTCTCCAAGAACAAAGGAATAAATGCCAAAACCAATGGAGACGTACAGTTCAAATTACAAAGCAAGCCAGTTTATCTTGAGAGAATGGAGGGGTCACTCTAGATCTATTGAACAGGAAAAATCACATTAGCCCTAACTTTTATGGAAGACTTTCATAATTTCAACAGGAAAATACATTGCTCTTGTTGAACTGCAAATAAGACTGATTCAACCAAAGGGTTAAGACTACTGTCAGGAAACCAGTTTTCCATGAAAGCAGCTAATGATCTATCTACTGATATGAAGTGTCTGAAATGTTTTGTCAAATATTTTATATGAAAGGCACATTTGAGTGCCCACCCATAGACGCCAGCTTATCGTTGCATCTCTCACATTCCTGAAAAGGTTTAATAGCTATTGGGGGAAATAGCTTTGGGAAAGCTAATGATTTGCAATTCGATTTAATGCTCCCCAATAAAACTTCATCATTCTTTAAGTGCTTTATTGTAGATTAGGATATAAGGGAAGGCCAAAGCAAAGGTGAAGCAATTTATCTCAAGAGAAGTATAGAACAGTCTCAATATCTTTGATAATTTGGAGACTGAAGAACTGAGAGGAGAAAGTATAATTGGAGAGCAGTTTTCACCTAGCATCCTCAGGTGAAATTCTCCATAGTGAATCCTCTGTAAGTTTTCTAAAAGTATGCATTTTACCCATCATATTAAGGAACTCAGAAAGCCCTGACCCCAATCTCTTAATCATTACGAGATTAATTTCTATCAATTATTCCAGCAGTCCCCAATCTTTCTGGCTTGATGGACTGGTGGTGGTAGTGGAGTGGGGGGAGGGGAAGGTTTCATGCACACGTGCCACTTTCATAAATACAGCTTCACGCTTATGTGCTTGCCCACCACTTCTGCAGCCTGGTTCTCAATGGGCTGCGGCCCATCACTGGGTCACGGACCAGGAATTGGAGACTCCTGAATTATTCTTTACATTTCCAACATGATTAATAAAAAGCAATAAAGGGGAACCAGACACAAAGTAAGAATAATTATTTTAAAGGAGATAATTATGAAGTAGATACAAAACTTGAAAAAGAAACATAAACTCTGTTCAAATAAATAACAATTTTATTTGCACAATAAAGCATGTGGATTGATTGAATGATATGGAAAATATAATACTGATATAAATATACATATAATATGTGATCAGATTAAATGAAAAGAAGTACCTTTGTAGTTATAGCTGCCATCTGAGATGTGCTTTTAGAAACTGATCCAGGAGATCCTGGTGATCCAGGAGATCCTGGTGATCCAGGAGACCCAGGCAAATTACTTGCTGATGACTGGCTGGTGAGGTTAGTCTTCGTACCACTTGAGAAGGAAAGTTTAAAACTTGGACTCTGGCGACCAGAAATGTTAGTTTTCAGAAGGACCTCCTTTTCTTCACTTTCTTTAACTAGAATGTAAAACAAGTACTGCTGTGACAAGTTGGACTATTAAGTAAATAGGATAAAGATATAACCTGATCACATTAGTGAAGTACCTTTGCTTATTTTAATGACATTTTATCACCACCTTTCCCCCAGATGGAAAGGACATTAGTTGTTACCTATACCTACGCACTATTACATACATTATGTGGTTGTGAGTAGGTAGAAGTAACAACTAATGCAGAAATACAAATCTACCAAGTAGGTAACAATATTCTTCAGTGGAATGGCTTGCCTAGCAATTTTTTACATTGTTTTACAGTACTAGATGAAGATTTTTAAATTTTCCAAAACTTTTTAAATCTGAGAACTTTAACTGATTAAAATTTAGCTCTGCTGAAAACTTTTAATTATTCTTTTACCTGTTTTATGAAGTACTGCTGACTGATATGTTTTGCATTACTTTCATTTATTACAAATTTATATTGTATTCATTGTTGAAAGTGACTCACAAACGAATTGCTGAATAGATACAATAGTTATTCTGTCTATAGATAATACCTATTTATTTGTTAGATTGATAACATCAATATCTATTTACCGTGTTCCTCCAACAATACACCCCCCCATAGGAAGGCCCAGCATGTTTTCTAGGCATGAGGTGAAATTAAGCCCCTCCCCCCCAAATTTAGGCCTATTTAAAACATGCAAAATGGGGGGAAGGGCAGGGGGAACTTGCCGTTAGGAGCGGCCCGTGGGCATCCATGCCTTGCCACCAGCTGCTCCTAACGGCCGATCGTTGTGGAGTGTAGAGAGCTCCCTACCCCTGCCAGACCCAGGTATGGTGCTACCTGCAGGCTGGGTCAGCGGGCGGGTGGTGGCGGCGTGGATGTCGGCCTTGGCAGGGCGCTTTGCACCACTGCCGCTTCCTCTGCCGCCCTTCTGCTTTCACTTTCCCTTCTGCCCTCGCCCTGGCTTATGCCGCGTTCGGACTGCAGCCATTGGGCAAGACGTAGAGGCCGGAGTCCCTGCTGGACATCACGGTGTGACAATAGCGGAGAAGTGGCCCTTCCAGAGGGTGGAGGAACGGTTCACACGCATTCCTCCACCGGCAGCTTTTCAGCCGCTTTTTGGGTGGGGGAGCCACCTCCGTAGCTTCCATGGTTCCCGCTGGCGGTGGCACCTCTCTCACCAGCGCCGTCTCCAACAGCGGCAGCAGCGGCGGGACTGGAGACGGCGCTGGCGAGAGAGGCACCACCACCGGCAGGAACTGTGGAAGCTACAGAGCTGGCTCCCCTGCCCGAGAAGTGGCTGAAATGCTGCTGGCGGAGGAATGCGCTCGAACTGTTCCTCCACCCGCTGGAAGGGCCACTTCTCCACTACCGCCACGCTACACTGTCCAGCAGGGACTCTGGCCTCTGTGTCTTGCCCAATAGTGGCGGAGGAAGCGGCATCGATGCAAAGTGTCCTGCCGCCACTGAGGCCGACATCCATACCACCGCCTGCCTGTTGATCCGGCCTGCAGCCAGCACCATACCCGGGTCTGCAGCAAAGGCATTTGGCGGAGGTAGGGAATTCTCCACGCTCCGCCATGATTGGCCATTAGGAGCAGCTGGTGGTGAGGCGTGGCTGCCCACGGAGCGCTCTAGGCGAGGGTGTGCGGGGGGGATTAAGTCACCCCCGAAAAGATGGCCTAGCTGTTTTTTCGAGGGTCAAAAGAAAATAAGGCCGGGAGGGCAGAGCTGGCGTCGTGATGACACGGCATGCGATCTTGGAGGTCTGAGATTGCTGCCGATATCTTTGCTCCTGGACGGTCCTATCAGATCTAAACCGTCCCGAAGAGACGGTGAAAGTGAAGAGCGCATCCTGTCGATCCCAGGGATACCGCAAAGTCCCTGGTAGATCCAGGAGAAGCTCTTCTTGCCAGCGGCAAAGAGGCAGCCATTAAAGCTGCTGAAGTTGGGACAGCTCCGAAATGGAAGAGAGCAGAAAGAGAGAGTGTGCCGGTTTGGTGAGAACTTTTTTTTTTAATTTTAAGACCTGAAAGGACACCCTAAGGAAAAGAAAGAATCTGTAAAAGTTTTGACAGAAGTGATTAAGCGGCGATTTTAAACAGGAATGTCAAAGTAATGTTTTGTTTTGTTTTTTCTCATTGCTGGATTTTCTATATATGATCTTGTATTTTGAAACTGGACTGGTTTTTTCGTTTATATCTACTTTTTTCTTCTCCTTTTTGATTTTGTAATATTTTAGGCTAGAGGCTCCCTTTAGTTATTTCATTTTTTTAAAATATCTTTTCTTTTTTTATTAATTCTTATTATATCCTGCTCGGAAAAGGAGGAGGAAAGTGAGAGCAAAGAAACTTTGTAACACTGCCAACTAGAGGCTTGAAAATATTTTATTTCCCTGTGACCAGACAAAGCTGAGAAAGAAAGAACTGAGACTCTTTTTCAAGGACATTGCTATTTGATAAGATAGAGAGAAGAGCATGGGAGAGTATTATTGCAGGTGCTCTTCTGGGTTTCTATCAACAGCTGGAGTCTGGTGTTGAAACGTAGGGGAGAAAAAAGGTGATAAGTTTTTGGAGAAGAGAGTTATAATAAGAGCCTTGGATAATCAAACAAAGTGCAGTATGCCCTTTTTACTTTTCCTAAGTTGTGCTATCCCTCCTCACCAGCTTTATTGTATTTTTTTTAATCTTTTTTTTTGTAATAACTATTTGGGTTTTTGGCTTTGTTGGAGCTTGTCTTTGTTTTTCTTTTCTTTTTTTTTTTGGAAGTCCAATCTCTACATTTGCTTTTTATTTTAAAGGGAAAGCCTTAAAAGCCTTTTTTTTCCTTTCCTGGTATTTTTTTTTTCATCTACCTTTCTGGTTTATTTTTATGCACTTTTTTTCTATTTGAGACCTTTCAATTGGATTAAGGTGTTGAAGAACCTGAAGAATTTTTCCTTTTCCTTTTTTTTCCTTAAGTCTTTTTCTTTATCTAACTATTGATTGGATTAAGGTATACAAGAACCTGAAGAAATTTTGTCCTCCCTTTTTTTTCTTTTTCTTTTTGTTATTATTATTATTGGGCTTCTTTTTTCTACTATTTTTATTTTGAACTATAATTGGTTACTTCACAATTGGATTAAGGTTTAGAAGAACCTGAAGATTTTGAATTGAGTAGGAAATTTATAGCTCCTGGTTCTTCAACTTCTACTTCTTCCTCTCCACCATCTGGAGGACAACGTTCAATACAGACAATGTTAAAGCAAGAAAAAGAACAAGAAAAAGTGACTCTGCAGATGATTATGCAAGGAATTCAAAATATTCAAGCAAGATCAGAGAATATTGAAAAGAGAATAGAGAACATTGAACAAAGAACAGAGAACACTGAACAAAGAACAGGGAAAACCGATGAAAAAGTGGAGAACATCCAACAAATGATGTTGAAGTATGATGAGAGATTCCAAAAAATTGAAGAAGATAAACAAAGAGACAAGAAGATTGGAGATATTGATAATAGATTAATGGTGGTTGAACAAGATAAAAGTGGTATGTTGAGATGGGAGATGGATAGATCAGAATTCTATCTTAGATTCCAAAACGTAGAGGAAGAAAAAGGACAAAACCTAGCTGAGATAATGATAGAAATACTGGCTGAAGCTTTGGAAATAACTCAAGGGAAGATGATGGATGGAATAGATGAGGTTTATTGAGTTTTCACAAGATATGCGATGAGAAATAGCTTACCAAGAGAAGTTCACATTAGATTTACAAAGAAAGCCATTAAAACGCAAATATTGCAAGTGGCAAAAGAGAAAACATTGAAATACAAAGACAAGGAGATTGTGGTCTTGAAACAAATACCCAGAAGAGTGAGAGAGATGAGAAGAGAATACCGATTCCTGACTAAAATGCTACTTAAAAAAGAGGTGAATTATAGATGGCTGATTCCAGAAGGTTTAATGTTCACATGGCAAGAACAGAGACATAGAATTGACTCAATTGAGAAAGCAGAATTATTTTATACAGAATTTTTTGGAAGGAAAGAGGAAGAGGCAGAAAAAGAGATCTCACTAATTGAATTCCAAGAGGACTGCCAAATGGCATCTGAAAAAGAAGAAGGCACAGTAGGTGGAAAGGTGAAAGCCAAAGAACAACGTGAACTAAGATCTACGAGAGCTGCTAAACTTAACTATAAAATATAATCATGGAAGAGAAAAAATTGATTACAATTAATATAAATTTTAACTCAGCCGTTAAAAGAAGGAAAACCTTTCATAAATTAGAGAAATTAAAATTTGATATAATTTGTCTACAAGAAGTACATATTAAAAAACAATATGAACAATTGTTGGTACAGCCAAAATTAGGGAAAATATTTATTTCCCTGACCCAATGTAAGAAAAGAGGAGTGGCTTTATATATTAAAGAGTCCACCCCAGCAAAATTGATCTATACCGATGATGATGGAAGAATACTAATGGTGGAAATAATGGACAATAATATGAAAACACTCCTGATTGCAATTTATGCTCTGAATGACAAACAAGAAGAATTCTACAAAAAATTACATACGAAAATAATTGAACTGGACTATGCTAATATAGTTATGATGGGAGATTTTAATGGAATTGTAGACTATAAATTGGACTATACAGCACAGAAAACAATAAAGCAAAACAGACTCTCCCTAAATCTTTTTTTTAAATGTTTTTTAAAAATAAACTTAAAAGATACATGGAGAGAAAGAAATGCTAAAACTAAACAATACACCTTCTATTCAAATAGACACTTATCATGGTCCAGAATAGATATGATATGGATGTCAACAGAATTAATATCTGACATTCAAGAAATAAATATTGAAACAAGTACTTGGGCAGATCACAATCCAATGACAATTAAATAGAAAGGGGAAAAAAGTAGATCTAGATGGACGTTAAATAATACTATTTTAAAGGAAAAAGACTTCACACAGTGGATGGAGAAAGAATTGGCTTTTTTCTTTAGAGAAAACAAAAAAGAAGATACATCAATTCAGAATGTATAGGATACAATGAAGGCATATGTTGGAGGCTTGATAACAGACTATACAAGGAAAAGGAATACTATGAAAAGGCTAGCCTCTAAGGCCCTAGAGGATGAGCATAAAAGACTTGAAAAAGAGCTACAGAAAATGCCACAGAAAAAGGATATCAATGGATATAATTAAACACAAAATGGGTCAAATAGAAAAAGAAGCAGCACAGAAAATTAGAGGTGCTAAACCGAACTACTTTGAAGACGCAAATAAACCAGGTAGATGGTTAGCATACAAATTGAGAAACAAGAAAGAATCAAGGAAAATATTGCAATTAATAGATGACCAAGGCCAAGTTTGCCATGGTAGCAAAGAGAAGAAGGAAATCATTCGAGACTTCTATGGGAAATTATATATGAAAGAGAATATTGATGAGGAAAGAGTTAACAGAATGCTAATTTACCTCAGATACCTAAAGAGACTGAAAAAGTGTTAGAAAGCAATATAACGATGATGGAGTTAACTGAAGCACTCAAGAAGCAAAATAATGGAAAGGCACCAGGTCCAGATGGACTTCCGGCAGAATTTTATAAAACATTACAAGAATCGTTGAATCTTCCATTGTTAGAAGTTATGAATGAAGTTATGTTAAAGAAAAAGATACCTAAATCATGGTCAGAAGCCTATATTACACTTATTCCAAAAGAGGAGGCCGACCCATTACAAATTAAGAACTATAGACCCATTTCTCTACTAAATGCAGATTATAAAATCTTTGCTTCAATATTGGCAGAAAGACTTAAAAAATATTTAAATAATTTTATCCATCCTGATCAAAATGGATTTCTGCCAAAGAGACAAATTAAAGACAATATGAGAGTAATCTTGGATACTTTGGAATACTATGAGGCACACCCTGAAAAACAAATGGCTCTGATATTTTTAGATGCACAGAAGGCATTTGATAATGTGAATTGGCGATTCATGTTATTACTGTTGGAACAGATGGGTTTTGCTAGAAAATTTATTCAAGCAATAGAAGCTATATACTATAAGCAAACGGCAAAGGTAATGATAGAGGGAGAACTGACAGACTCTATTAATATAAGAAAAGGGACAAGACAAGGGTGCCCACTATCACCTTTGTTGTTTGTGTTAATTTTGGAAGTGTTAAACAGAAATATTAGAGATGAAAAGAATATAAAAGGAATGAAAATAAAAAAGGAAGAATTTAAGCTGCAAGCATTTGCGGATGATCTGTTTTCATCTTAGAAGTCCCTTTAGAAACAGCATCAAAATTGATAGAAAAGATAGAGACATATGGAAAGGTGGCTGGTTTGAAAATAAATAAAGATAAGACTAAGATCTTGACAAAGAATATGCTATTAAGACAAAAGGAAGAACTATTGAAAATTCAGGTCACGAATAAGATCAAGTACTTGGGGATATATTTGACAGCAAGATGTAGTACATTAAAAGAGAATAATTATATTAAACTTAAACAGCAGATAGCGCTAGATTTGGCGAAATGGGAAAACTTACAACTGTCACTAATAGGGAGAATTTCAACAATCAAGATGAATATATTACCCAGAATTTTATATTTGTTTCAAACAATTCCAATTAGGCTTGGAAAAGACTACTTTGAAGATTTAAATAAAATTGTGTTGAAATATATATGGCAAGGTAAGAAAGCGAGAATAAAGTTAAAACTTTTGCAAGATGCTAGAATTAGAGGAGGATTTGGTTTGCCTAATTGGGAGTTGTACTACCAAGCTACAAATTTGATGTGGGTTAAGGAATGGATAACACTAAGAAATACTAGATTGTTGACATTAGAAGGACATGATTTGTTGTTGGGGTGGCATGCTTTTTTATGGTACAAAGGAACTAAAACACAGGGGTATTTTAGAAGACATTATATACGGGAGTCTCTGTGGTTAAACTGGGAGAAGATTAAAAGACAATGTTATTTGAAAATTCCAGTCTGGTTATCGATTATTGAAGCATTTTCGTATCCTACAATATACAAAAAGGAACAAACAGATATGGTGAAATATTGAATGAAAAGGGTGAACTTAAATCTATGCAAAAACTAGAGGAACAAGGTATAAAGATGAATTGGTTTTCATATGCGCAAATACATTCAAGGTATGATAAAGATTCTAAAACAGAGGTTTCTATGATAAACTGACTGACTTAGATAAGATTTTGACAGGTACTGATGAAAAGGTGATTAAAAACTGTATGGATATTTATTAGAAATTAAATTAGAAGAACAAGTTAAAGAAACTATGATTGCTTGGGGGAAGAATTTTGGATATGGGATTGATTTAGAGAAATGGCAAAAATTGTGGTCTCAAAATTATAAAATGACAATGTCAACAGCATATAAAGAAAATTTGTATAAGATGTTTTACAGGTGGCATTTTCCCCCGACAAGAATAGCAAGAATGTTCAAGAATAAATCTGAAAAATGTTGGAAATGTCATCAGACACCTGGCTCATATTACCATATGCGATGGACTTGTGCGGATGCTAAAAAATACTGGACTAAAATCCACATGTGGTTGGAAAAAATGAAAAAAAAAAACATATAAACTTGAAACCAGAGATATTTTTATTGGGAATTTTACCTGAAATATATAGTAAAGACTTGAAATACCTGATTGTAAATGTATTAACAGCGGCTAGGATTGTATTTGCTAAAAACTGGAAAAATGAGAAAATACCATCACAGGAGGAAATCATTAAGAAAATATTGGAATGTGCTGAAATGAGTAGATTGACGTTTGAAATTAGAGAACAAGAGGATAAACAATTTTATAAAATTTGGGATCTTTTCTATCAATGGTTAGACAATAAAATACAGTAATGAAATATGTAGACTTTTAGAAAATAATAAATATATAAAGATGTACTTCTTTCTTATTATATCTACAAAATGATTTTAGGATAGATTTGGGATGATAATATGAACTGTTATAAAATAAACTAAGTAAATGATGGTTATATGGTAAAACATGAATGAATAAAAGTATAGTCAAATGATTGATAATGATACTAAGGTATTTAATTTTTGATTGACAATATGAGATTATATGTAATGTAATTGTAATTGAAGACTATAAAATGGAAGCCCAAAACAATTTGTAAACCAACCAGCACACTGTATGTACACCTATGGAAGATAGCTTGATGTTTTTATGTTTTGTTTGTTTATGTTTGTTTTTAAAAACCAATAAAATTTAAAAAAAGAAAAGAAAATAAGGCCCAGCCTTTTTTTCCTGAGAAACACAGTATTATCCAAAAACAATCAGATAAACTTAATTCAGACAAGTTTTTCTTGCTTTTATGATTGCTATTATAAACAGATCTAAAAATAATAGCAAATCCAAGTTGGCATTAGATAACAGCTAAATCTTGACAATAATAGTATAACAGAATAGCAGAGTTGGAAGGGTCCTTGGAGTTCTAACCCAATCCCCTGCTTAAGCAGAAATCTATACCATTTCAGACAAATGGTTGTCCAATTTCTTAAAAATCTCCAGTGTTGGAGTAGCCTTTCTGGAGGCAAGTCATCCCACTAATTAATTGTTTTAACTGTCAATAAATTTCTCCTTACTTCTAGGTTGGTTCTCTCCTTGATTAGTTTCCATACATTACTTCCAAGAGACAGTGGAGGACAAGGGGGCCTGGCATGCTATGAACCATGAAGAATCGGAAACAACTTAGCAACTGAACAATGGAAGTTAATTGTTGCTGGTTGTGGAATTCTATAATTTGAATCCTCAAATTACAAAGTTTGAAAAGCACTGCTCTGGAACATAACTACCCTGTCGGATTTTGTGAAATGAGTTGAAATAACGGGAGACAGATGGTCCTCCAAATGATCTAAAGGCTCTTCTAACTTCTGAACATCTCCTTGCAGCTTTACCTGCTCTTTGCTATCTCATGATGGCCAGGGGGATTAGTGATGGAGATAAGGCTGGCAACTAGTAACATATTCCCCCAAGTTACTTACATTTTTTTCTTTCCATAAATTTACTTATAGGATCCATATCTTCATCGTTTTTAGTTTTATCCGCGGGTGGCACAACTACTTCTCCATCTTCCATATCATCTTCATCAGTGTTAAACCACATTTCTTCTTCATCTTCCAAGGTCCTTGCATCCCTTCTGTATCTATGGTTTCTTAAGATGGATCGCATGCTATAAAAAGATATTTTTGTAATGAGGTTATAAGTACACTGCTAAGAATGAGTATCATGCTGAATCTTAATTCTCTAATATTTCTAGAACACACTTAATCAACTACTTTAATATTTTCCCAATAAACTAACTCCAGATTGCAGACATTAATGAAAAAGAGAAGGTGCACATGTTAATGTGACACATCATTTCTGACCTAGTTACTTAGTCATTGCACAAACATATGGTTATTCAAAAATAAAGCACTTCAGCTATATTTTCAACGTGTTACTTTTTTATATGTATTTAACATTTTGTTAAGAACAGTCTCCTAAATCAGTAAACCTAATTGTGATCAGATTAACATATTAGTTTCAGGCATTACATAAACCAGGGGTGTCAAACTGGTGGCCCCTGGCCTGGATGAATCATGCATAGGCCACACTCACCTCAGCTCCATGAATGGGGAAAATGTCATGAAATGTCACATGACAGCAACATGATGCTGCGAGTTTGACACCCATCACATAAACCAACTCCTAGCAGCCTCAAGGAAGTATCTACTACTCAAAGTCAGATCTGGGAATTCAGAGGCATTTTTCATGCAACTTAAGTCAGCGAATAGATTGTGCTTAAATTTCATCAATTTTTCACTTTCTCACAGATTTCTACTACATTATCTACATTATTTGAATGACTGAAGAGGATCTGCCAAATGAATGGTATATATACAAATTTTGCCTGTAATATGCATCTAGTACCCTATAGCATCATACTGGTAGTGAGTTATATAATAGTTTTGTTCCTGGCAATGAATAATATAAATTGATGTTGCAACATTCATATAGAAAATTTATTTTGTTCAAATGTATGGATATGTTTATTTTCTGTACAATCCTTTTTTTAAAACTTAAAACATATCTCCAAAATAGTGCATCTATTACACCACTCTCATTCTTGCTGTTTCAAAATAAACAATCATTCAACTGTCCATAGAAAAGACATTTCAATAACCGTACTATGAATCTTGTTCTATTTTTCAGTAAATTTTCAACAGGCAAAGATGATGATGATGATAATAATAATAATAATAATAATAATAATAATAATAATAATAATAATAATAATAATGCATTAACCTGTCAAGTTTGGGATTATCTTGTCTTTCTCTTTGTTGTTCGTAACGTAATTTCAAACCTTTCAAAGTCTGTACATAATCTACATCTTCTAGTGCCTTCCAATAATTCTCAATTACATGAGCTGTTAAGGATTTTATGTCTTCCTGGAAAACAAAGTTATTTTAATCCATTTAAAACATTAAAAACTATACAACTTTGCTCAAAACCATATAATAGAGCATATCTGATCTGTTAATAAGTCAGGTAGTCTTTCACGCATATAATAAGCCACATAAATATAATTATCACTGCAAAAAACACCTGGTCTACTGCACTGAAGAGGAATAGTTGTAAACTGTCCATCTATCATAGTATGTTTTTACTTGGTCATTTAATCTTAGCATTCTGTAATTCTTTCAAGCAGAACGAATTGAAAAAAGAAATTTAAAACAAATTATTTGAAAGAATCCGTCATACTACATTTGAATGTCATGGCAACATAAAGTGCTATTTGCGGAGGCAGAAAGGAGCCTATGGCTCCAATTCATTTTTATAAGTGGTTAGCCAATATCTTCTGAGATGGTTTTCAACTTTCTATGCTAGGGCTGAGAGATAATGACTGGTCCAAAACCACTCAACTGAAGTTGTACTTAAGTGAGGGCTAGAACAGAGATCTATCCACTTCTAATTCAGAATCTTTAACTGATATATCCAGAACTGATAATACATGTACTTTTTAAAAAAATGTATAAGCCTCTAACTTAAATACCATTATTTCCTAATGTGTCAGTGATGATCAGAAGAGGAGGTACTAAATCAGAATTATCTTCATTCCGTTTACATTCCATTTACAGGGTAACTTCCAATTTGGCAAAATTAAAATTCATAGAATTACATGGTCTTGTGGTCATTCCATAAGGAAATAAAAGAAAATATACTTTTCAAAGACTTCAGTACTTTTAAAGCAATGTGAGATTAAATTTAGAAAATAATTCAAAAAATACTAGGACCATCATGTAGAATAAATGCAATTTTTATCTGCTTAAGACTGTGTGTGTGGAAAAACAGAATACTAACTAGAAATTGTTGGAAGCAGCACCCAACCCAGATCTCTTGAAGGCAAATGATCCAAATCTATTAATCCCTAGCCCAACACATTATTTTTCTCTGATCCTTGTGTAAAATCAAACAAAGTTCTTTATCTTCTATATTCCTGACTTAATGTTATAGAATCCTATTTTGTGGTAAAAGATTAATCACAATCTTTTGATTCACATAAACTGTGGACTTCCATTTTTACATATTTGTGTATTTCTGAGCCACTGTCTTTATAATAATGATTAATGGACATTTTTCCATAAATCTTACTTCTAGTTAAAAGAGATTGTGAATTTTTTCCTCAAAGAATCCATATAAAGTCTCATAATTTTATCACAATCAATACTATGGGAATATTCATTATTCCTAATCTCCAATATTTCTGACTTTGTGAACTTCTCCCTCCATATGAATACATACAAGACACCTTCACTTAATCTCAAGTATCAACATTCATTCCTCTATAAAAAGAATTACTCACCACTCTAATAAACTCAAACATTTCAATTATAGCAGAGTTCATTAGATTATAGCGGGATCCATTGTTGAGAAATGCTTTGACCACTGGTTCAAACAAAAAACTTTTCATTATATAGCGATTGTAAAATTCATCCTTCAATCCAATTATTTTTCTTTTAAAACGCAGGGCACCTAGTGGAAAAAATACATATTTTCAATAGTGAAAACAGCTATTTTAACTCATCTTGTACAAAAAGTCCTAGGATTATATCATAGACAGGTAACACTGTACCTGCAGACAACTTCCTACTTATTCACAGATATATTTCATTTGACTTTAACATTTTAAGATTCTTTTAATTAAAGAACTGGGCAGCATTTTTATTTACATAAATTCTGTATTAACATTTTTAGAAAATAAAGCATGTTTTTCTGCAGTTCAGTGCTTCTTGGAATTCTACCCCCTATTCTGAATTTTAAAAAAGAAAAAAAAAGCATACTGGAAATTCAGCAGTATGCTTTCTTTACCTTTTTAAAAGTTTGGATACAAGACAAAAATTCCAAAAAAGACTGAACTGCAAAAAATCATGCTTTATTTTCTAAAAATGCTTGTGTATAACCTCATTTATTGTGTCTAGTAAACGTATGTTTTACAACTGGTCATGCTACACTTCCACTAAAACTATAATACTGATGAATAAAAACTGCCCATTCTTTGGTCAAGACATTTGTGATTATTCTTGTTTTGTAGAGTGTGTTGTCAAAAAGTAGTACTGTATATAACAGACATGTAATATTGTGTAAATTGATTTCTAGTTCTACAATGAGAAGTTCTCTATCTCCTTCTATCTGTAGCTCTTATGCTCTGCCAATTCTACACTGAAATATCATCCAACTCTGCAAAGTGGATTTGATGGACTAAATGAAGGGAAGAGCGAATTAATTTTTTTTACAGAAGCTATTTTATCTGTAGATAGAGGACCTTTTCTTAACTTACGTAGCAATATTATATCAAAAAGCAAAGAAGCAAACTCAGTTGAAACTGGAAATACACTAACAAGAGGAACAGCAAAAGTACACAGAACAAAGACAAGCAGTCTTGGGCCTTTCTAGCAATGTTCCATCAGTCTGATCACTATGGTCAATAGTAGAAATCTGCAAATTATATTCCAAAGCATCTCAATATCAAGTTCCCTATCCTTTATACCACTCATAACAATATGAAAAATATGTCATCTATATATAGCACCTGTATAGACCTTTGTTAGGAATACATAGGTAAGCAGTCTATGTAAATAATAGATCTATTCTTTTGAATCTAAGTTTTGATATTGTTTGTCTGTATATTCTCGGAACTCTCACTGTACCCAAATTTTTAATACAAGGTATTTTTGTAATATAACACTTTCTAGTGAATTATTCTGAGGTCCATTCATGATGATTTGTAAATATTTTCCTTCCTCTGCATTAATAAGCTTATATCTAGAAATTAGGGGGGGGGGGGGGGAAATAAGGCTATGCAGCACTTTGGATTCAATCTCCAAAAGTGTTTAAGATTATATGAAAACAGTTGGCGACAACACCTGTTTCCCAGGAAATTGTACAGGGAAACCACGTAACTCTAGGAAAAGGTATGCCTCCTTCAAGGTTCCACAGACAGAAACTACATTTGTACTCAGGGGTATCTTTTAGATATGAATTTCTAAGTACCACACAGTACTATTAAAAAAACAACACAAATTATGTTTTATTTCATGTTTTCTGTTTTCATTCAAAATAACAGGCAAATGAAACATCTAAAAAGACTGAATACATAAAGGCAGAGGCCTACACTACATCGTACTTACATAGTGCCAAGAATGCATGCTTTGAGGCCATTAGAACTAGTACTCTTCGAAGAATATCCTTGTTAATTATGTAGTTCTTTATATGGTATGTATGATGCTCTACACAGAAAGTTAATAACTCTAATATCAAGGCCAATAACTGGGCAGTCTGAAAGTCATCTAAAAGCAAAACAAATAATGTATTTGCTGATATACATTTCCATTATTTTCAACAGATGTCCTTTTATAGCTCACAGTTTATTACCTACAAAAGCTAAACATAAACATAAACACGTACTATATTGTACCACTTAATTTTCCTCTCAATTTTTAGGCATGTAAAGCAAATACTTTATGGAATTTAATACCATTAAAAAAGGGAGGAAAACTTTTTTTCCCCTCATCTCTATTTCTTAAGTTCTTTCTTACTGGCAGAGTTATCTTTAGAATAGAGTTAAGATATAAATAAAGAGCTAAATAAACTTCACATTTATAAGCAAGAAATTTGGGCTTGAGTGAAATACATTCAAACGAGCTGTAACATCAAATAACTTTAAAATGGGAACAGATGAGGATGGACTGGTCTATGACCCAAAGCCTAATAGGAATGTAACAGAGTATGAGTTCTTCCTTATATGCAATCATCACTTTTTAATTTTATGGTTCAGAAACAACAGTAGAAAAAGCCTCCTGAAGGCTCACCTTTGCTAGGCTTTTCCTCTGTAGTATTGGCCAATAATGGTGCAGTGAGAACATGCATACAGTGTTTATAAAAGAATCCCAAGAATTCTGTCTTTTCTGTTTTCTATAGAATAAAAAGAAACCAATTTTTATTTAGGGCATACTATTCCTTTAATATTTTAACAGAAAAAACATAACGTAAGAATGTATTTATTTTTTGCTTACATTTGCAGTAGCTAGCATGTTTTCTGGATCCACCAAAGTACGCAATAGGCCCATCAACTGGACTGCTCCTCCAAGTTCTGGATCTGTATCACAAATCATGTGTTCTATGATGAGGTTAATGAGCAAGATATCCTAATCAAAAATATAAAACACCAAAAACATTAAGCATAACTAAAAGATGAAACAGACAAAAGCAATTCCAGTTAAGAAGTCTGAACTTGTGAATCAAACAGAACTGGATTTCTATATCAGCATCCACTAATATTGCACTTTTTCAAAAAAGTAAACTTGTCCCAAGGTAGATATTTTATATTATAAAAAGATTTAGAGAACATCCACAAAGAAAAACAGATAAGGATCCCAATAAGAATTATAATTAATTTTTATTGCTTGATCTATGAAGGCAGCAAAAATATTTATCTAATGTCATTGGCCAATGATCCACAGACGCTTACATTAACTGCACAATTTGACAAGTAATATATTTATAATAGGAAATATGCAGTAAGGGACTGAAATACTTGGTGTAGACAATAGTCACATTTTTGAAAAAGAAGCATTTATCTTCCATCCCCTCAAGAAGCCATCAGTAAATTAGCTATTTTAGACAAGAATATAATATTGTCTGCAAATTTTTCTTTACAGTTAATAATTGTTAATATTAATATATTGATGATACTGTTATCCACTCCTGGTCTGAAAGGAGATATAGTGATACTCTGATTCAGTCCTTAAAGAGTATTAAGAGTGGGATGGCAAAAAGCACATTCAGATTGAAACTAGCAAGACACAATGGCTGTGGATTTCAAGCCAACTGAATTGGAACATAGTCAGCCCTTAATTCTGGACACAATTGTACACCCCCAGATTGAGTTGACTCATAGCATGGGGGTCTTCTTGGACCTCAGCTTCTGCTCAAACAGACAGAACCATGGCTAAAAGGGCTTTTGCACAGACTGCTGGGTTCTCATAGTATATTAAGCTAAAATCAAGAAGTCAAATTACAACTGCAAGACATAAACCAGATCAGTATCAAACCAAACTTGCTAAGACAAGTTTACACAAAAATGAGTATTTTGGTGAATGCACATTGCTGATCTAATTATAAAGTATTGCAACATTTCCATGGGATAACTATTCCCTGCTCCCAAAAAACTAATACTAATTGAAATAATTTAAATTACATGTTCTGGGCAGACTGTATTTTATTTACTAAACAACTTATTAAATGCCACTGTAAATTGAAATGTATTTCATGATCTACCAATTATTATAACTTCTCAATTCGAGCAGTACCACATTATAGCATATAAGTTAACAAAAGTTAACAGTTAACAAAAATATTTTCTGTCTCACAATTCAAGATAAATAGCAAAACTGCCATCTGAAGAAACAGTTTTATCAAAATAATATAGTATATTATTAGTTTTCAAGTGAAAGGCCATTTCAGTATATTCAGCATATTTGTGCAGTTACCTTAGATAATGTAGATTTATATACATGTAAGTGTACAGAAGGTACATGGAGAAAGGATGGACTGCTCAGTCCTTCCAGTGGCAGTTCTTTCTATTTTTTACTTTATGATGTGAGACATCTGTTTTTCACACAACCAGCAATGAAACTAAGGGGGGCTGCTGGAAAGAAAAGGAATAGCTCATCTGTAGTCCCCTATAGATAGTCCTATGACCAGTTGCTTAGTGACTGTTGGAAGTTCAGTGAAGTACTAATATCACTCTATAAAGCCTAAGTAAGACCACACCTAGAATACTAATACTGCAACCAGTTTTGGTCACACTATAAAAAAGATGTTGAGACTCTAGAAAGAGTGCAGAGAAGAGCAACCAAGATGATTAGGGGACCGAAGACTAAAACATATGATGAACAGTTGCAGGAACTGGGCATGGTTAGTCAAGTGAAGAGAAGGACCAGGGAAGACATGAAAAGTGTTCCAATATTTGAGGGGCTGCCACAGAGGGGAGGGGGGCAAGCTATTTTCCAAAGCACCTGAAGGCCAGACAAGGAACAGTGGATGGAAACTGAACAAGAGAAGATTCAACCTGGAAATAAGGAGAAATTTTCTGACAGTGAGAGCAATCAACCAATGGAACAGCTTGCCTTCGGAAATTTTGGGAGCTTCATCACTAGAAGCTTTCAAGAAGAGACTGGACTGCCATCTGTCAGAAATGGTATAGGGTCTCCTGCTTGGGTGGGTGGGATTAGATGATTTACAAGATCCCTTTCAAGTCTGTTAATCAATTAAGTTCCAACAAATGCTAAAAAATGGTATTTATGACCTGGATTCAAAGTTCTGACAGTTGTCCCTCCCACAAGGTTCTGGGATCATATTTTGGGAGCTTGACAATTGGCCTGCATTTATGTCACGTGCACTGCCCCGTAGTCACATGAACATGATTTACAACATTTTTTGCTGGAAGCAAGTATTTACTTCTGGTTTCCAGCAAAAACCAGCCAATTATGGACAATGGGTTTGCTTAATGACTGTGAGTCACTTAAACGAATTAAACAAATTTTATTCAAATTCCTTATTAATGGATGCATCACCAAAGATACTTACATCATCATTCTGCTGAGCTTCTTGCATGACAAATTCTCGTACCATTGATGGGTTATATTCAACTAAATATGAGAATATATCAGTAGCCGCACTACGTACTTGGGCATCATCCATGCCCTGCAAACAAACAAAAACAGACTCTGTAAGGCATAACCTAAAATTCATTTTTCTTTGGTTTAATTCACTTATTTATGATTTCATTTTCTATGTGCTGCCTCAATCTTAAAATATTCTCCACTCTGACAATATTGCAGTTCAAGTTTGTTTCTGTGGTGTTGTGTAAGACTGAAACAAAATGTGTTCCTTGACTAAACTTCAGAGTTTTTTGGGCTTTTCCTCTTTTTTTCTGTTTGCCTGTGTTGCTCTGTTCTCTTTTATTTCTCAGTTGGGTCATGATAGGACAGAATATAAATCACATATATACATTGTATTTCCACCCAAAAATTAAATTTAGCATTATAGAAGGCTGAAAAAAGTTATACAAATTAAGATACCTAGTTTGGAAACTTACTAGTATAACTTCTAGTGCTGGAAGTATGCCCATATTTGACAATGTTTTGAAAAAAGCATCCCGGTTTTGAGGTTGTAATGTTTGAGAAAATGCACAAAATTCTTTAAGGAAATTTACCTGAAACACAGAAAAAAGAACCATGTTTATCAATAAAGAGAATGCAGCAACTGTCTTTTTAATCATTTATAAAAACATTCCTACCAATTCCTGTCTTTTCTCTTCATCTGTAGCTTCATCTGTAAGTTGTGCAAATAGGTCTGTCAAGAATTTTTCATCTTCCTATGAAAATAAAACAGAAATCACACAAATTATGTTCACAAATTTGAATTAAAACTAAATATCTTTAATGTATCTTCCATCATTCCCCTCTAGGAAACAAAGCACCAGGGGCAAATCTGCTAATTTGAAAGGACAAGTACAGTATATAGATGATTGTATGTGCTTAATGTATGTGCTCAATTTAAAAATATTGTACTGTAAAATGAAAAATACTGTAAAATGAAATAAAATTCATTTTGCTTGAAAAATAAATTTCCATTGATTTTAGAACTCAAAGATACTGTCTACAATATTCATGATACATACGCGTTTTCTAAACAAGAGATCACTGAGCATCAGAATCTAAGGAATTGAAACAGTCCTAAGATTTACCATTCAATCATTGAGAATGTTTAAGAAGTGACCAGGATCAATTGTATTTCAAGACGCAAATCATTATATAATATCACCAAGGTTTTTGCAGACACATGAATAGAAATTAGGTCATGCTAAGCAATTGCTCTTCAGTTTCTGTTATTTTTCTGTGTTCAGAGGATGTCTTAAATATTAACTTTTTAACAAACAAAATGCTATTTAATTTTTACTTTAATCAAAATACCTATTTAAAAATATCTAAAGATAATGGTACTTGAACAGTTAGACCTATTTTAACCACTATCTCCCCCCCAAAATGGGCCAGTTTTAAAGGGTAGGAAAAACATTTTTTGAGCATTAAATTATTACTATTTCAGAATGTAATATGGACCATCAAAAGCCAATCCCTAATAAATAAACAAATAAAATTAGAACTTTATATATGAATAGGGTTTATTGGTCTAAGGAAGGAGGACAATGGTCTTTGTTTCTGTTTCATCCTATTTCAGAATGTGACCTTTTATTCTTCGCAGGTGGTTTATTTTTAATAGTTCCTTGAAACACATATACATCATTCCTTATTTATATTATTCCAAATTCATTCTTATGGCATCTAAAGGCATGAAATTCCTAATAATACTGTAGAAAGTACCTTTAGCTCTTTGACACCATAGTATCATAAGCCAGGTAAATAAAACGAACCTTTTAAATAACTAAAATTGATGTTTAAAATGTAAATACATTTCTTCAAAATATTATAATAATTTTTTTCTGTACTATTAAAAGGGGGTCTATCTTGGAGGTATCACTAGCAGTAAACCAAAATATATTCTACAGATGACCAGTCTCTGGAGATGGTAGATACAGAGCAGATGTCCTATTCTACAGTTGATGTCAATGTACACATCCCCAATCAAGCCCTTATCCTTCTCTCTAAAACACAATGATGGAAGTACAAGGAATATAGGATATGGAGCACAGATTAGATAATGACAACATATAGGCTCAAGAAAAATTATTCTGAATGTCCACTATTGATCATAAAAAGGAATGCCTACCATAGTAATCCTAAAAAAAATATAGGTAGTCCTCAACTTACAACCACAATTGAGCCCCAAATTTCAGTTGCTAAGTGGGACAGTTGAGTTTTATCCCACTTTATGACTGTTGTGATAGTTGTTAACTAAATCACTGTCCTTAAGTTAGTTACACAGTTGTTAAGTGAATCTAGCTCCCCCATTGATTTTGCCTGTCAGAATGTTGCAAAAGGTGACCACATGACTTTGGGACACAGCAACCATTGTAAATATGAATCAGTTGCCACGCATCTGAATTTTGATCACATGACCATGGGGATGCTGCATTGGCTGCATGAAAAACAATCATACCACTTTTTTTCAGAGAGTTGAAACTTTGAACAGTCACTAAATGAACTGTTGTAAGTGGAAGACTACCTGTACAATAGGGATTGATAAAACTTGGAAATAAATTATAAACAATGCAAACATAAAGAAAAAGATAGATAAAGCAGGTTAAATTCCCCCTTTAAAAAAAAACATCTACGAAAAACAATTCAGAAATACATTTCATTAATTGCAATTAATTTTATTAAACCATAATTTTGATTAATTTTTATTCCACAATAAACAATATAAACAAGCTTTTTAATACAATGTAAAAGCTGCTTAGTAATGATGATTCTTCTCTAAAATTATGAAAAATATCCTCCAGTCATACTTAAACTGGAAATGAAATTGGTTTACCACCTAATGATTTCTCAGCTTTGCTTGTGCTTTAGTAATAAATATCGTCATCCAATTATTTTACAGTATTAACATTAATCAGAAAAAAACAAAATAAAACCATTTCATAAGTCATACTTAGAAGATAAACACATACCTTATCTTTGAGTGGAAATCAATATATACTAAGGTGTCAAAAAATAATGTACTTAATTTATCATCTCAGTAGCAGTTTAATTAAAACTGAGTTTTAATCAGAATAATTCCTATCTGGCAGGTATCAACATATCTGTTCACCATATTACTTTACTTTTTAAAATGTTATATTGTGTTGTCTGTTGTAGTACATTACCATTCCACATGTATTCCACATTATAGCCCTCTTACTTGTTCAAGCCTTTATTCTGACTGTCTAGAAATATTTGTAGCTTGTTATCTTTTTCTACTTCTAATCTACTAATAACCTCTAATCTTATCCAAGATAGTAACAAAGATAAAGTTAAATAAACCAGTTTTTAAGATCAAAGGATATTTAGTATTGCATGTGAAAATACTTAGCCTCCTTTTGCCAATATTCTTTTCAAATGTTTTTAAATAAATCATATGACTTGTTTAAATGGTTTAAGAACATTGACCTTTTATAAAACTACTTTAAAAAACAAAACAGTAAATACCTTGAAATAAAATGTACTATATTTTAATAAAGTCTTATAGTCATATCTCAAAATAACAAAATGCTATGAAAATGACAATTTTTCACCATATGGTACAACAATCAAATTCATATTATCTCCACATAAAGCCTCACAGTAGATACTTTTGATTGATCAAACTTTTATAACGCTGTCATCACAAAGATTTTCTAGTGATTAACAATGTAAATATAAATAGGAAAATCGAATAAAATAACATATCCCTAATAACCTAAACCAAACCAAGAGAGCCCATGTCCTTTAAACCTGTTATCAAGTTCTCTGAAAACATCTTTAGAATTGATGTTATCTAGTCAAGTAAGCAAATGTCTGCAAGCAAACAACCATGCTCAGAAAGCACCAAGGACTCCACAGTTCAACCCTGAGCTCTGTATATTCTCTTCTATTGGTTCTTTGATACAACTTGTCTTGACTTATAAATGATTCATAAAATCATTATGGTTGACATATGGTTTTATGAGACTGCTTCTGGGTTCTTTGCTTCTCTCACTCCACCCCCAAAACAAAAAATTCTCAATAGCTCTGAAAGTTGTATTTCAGGTCAATTCCATTTGAAAAGGATGGTCATGAAAGTATCCACAAGCCAAGTAGATGATCAAAGCCTGACAGTCTTCTACTAACTATGGTCTGCTCTGTAGTATTTTAACAAGTAGTGATAATACATAGTAGAAATGATTTTTTGAAGGAAGAAATATTCTCTTCTGAAGACACTGGCAGTGACTGTTGCCCTTATCCATTGTAATGTTGTTTAGTCAATACTTCCTTTGAATGCTAGGATATGATGGAACACGGTTCCAGACATATTGTTATGAAAACAAACTTGGCAATTTTAATTAGAAGTGATTTCACATTTTCTGGCCCACATCAGCATTTGGGAAGTGCTACTTTCTATCAACTGAAAGCTCCAGAGGCTGCCCTTGATAAAGCACATTGCACTTGCACTCTCTTCTGATAAAGCACATTGCACTCTGAAATAGCTCAGATCCAATCACTCAAGATAGTCCCTGACTGGAATATAACAAGGAGGCAATAAAAAGCACTCTGGTTACTGCTACCGCCTCTTAGACATCAACAAATAAATCCAAAAGGCCCATAATGGTATTCTTGGGTGTAAAAGAGCAGAGCTATAATGTCAACAGATTTATAATCTCAAACTGTCATTGGATGAATAAGAAGGAATCAAAAATCTTCCAATTCAGCTTCTGTAATAGAACATCTAGGGACAAATGCTAGCAATGTGGTATTTAAAGTCTAGGTAAAAATTGCTCAAAAGGGGATCCTATGGTCAGACTGATCAGATGCTATCTACAGATCAAGTAGAACCAAGACATTACCATGAAAATCTCTACCACTTTCCATCCAGAACTTAAAATAGCTAAATTAGGGCTGGAATGGGCTTATTCTCTATTGTCCAACTCAGAGGAAAGAATCAGAACCAATGGATTAAAACTACAAGGAAACATTTCAGCCTAAATATCAGATAGAATTTTCTTTATGAACTATCTGACAAAGGAAGAGACTGCCACACAAAGTTGTTAAGTGTTCTTCAGAGGCTGGTTGGCTATGTCCAGTGATAATCTAATGGCTCCTGCACTAAGCAGAGTAGTAGACTATAAAAAAATACATGGTCCCCTTCAGCTATATGAATTTATTGATTCTTTATCATTTCCATTCCTGGTTAGCAACTTTCAAATCCCTGAACAGAATGGGAAATTCACCACAGCCAACTTGCCAGGGACAACTCGCTACAGGGCAATTCAACAAACATAAAAGTTAATTTCAACAGAAACCGTGGTCAAGAATAATAAAATTAAATCAATCTAGAAATGCAAGACTTATAGTAAGTTTGATAATGTGATCACCAATAATAAAAGTAACTAAATGAAATGATTAATTCACCATTGAATTTTCCCAGTGAGTTGTCCCATGGAAGTTATCCCACGGGAAGTTGGCCATGGTAACTTGACCATAGCGAGTTGTTGGCTGGAGAATTCTGGGAGTTGAAGTCCACAAGTCTTAAAGTTGCCAAGTTTGGGGACCCCTGTCCTAGACCATTCCTAATGCACCCTTCCCCTCCCTAAATCTTATTCAGAAAGAGCGTGTTGGAATCAGTAGTATTTGCACAAAAATCTTTCTTTAAAGAGAGAAAAATCCATGCAATTTTTCAAAAAGCGTATTAATTTGGAAGATTCTATTAATGGCTAATACAAATGGAAGACATGTTCTCAAAGCACATCTCTAAACCAGCAGCTCAAGGAACCATATCTTTGATAAACCCTTGATAAGAATACATATTCTTGAGAAAGCTGAGTGAAGCCGCTACATTAATTGAACAACCATGCTCATGCATAGATGCTTTCACCTTTTGTTATGGGAAATGTAAAAATATCTGTCTTTGCTTTATAGACAGCTTCTGCATTTTTACTGAGAAAGGCCCCAAAATTATATATTAAGAAATCTATTTGTTCCAAGGAAACAAAATATTTCTATTTAGCATTTTAAGGCTTGCAATTGTCAACAACCTCTGATGTTTTACAGAAAGGCAAAAACATTTCAAATTCAAACTGAATTTCAATAGCTGGTGCAGAATGGATTGCCTTTATCATTTGGGAGGTGTTTCAAATTAAAAGCTGAGAGTTTCAAGGACAAAACTCTTCTGAGATTATCAGAATGTAAAACTAGCCTGTTAAAAAGTGATTTCACATTATGTAGAAGTGGTTCAAATTCAAAACTATTTTCTTCACGGTATTCATAATATTTAATGGCACTTTGTGAAGGATGCGTTGTCAGCATTAAATGTAAGATCACTTTTAACAGTAAGGCTGGTGCCAGGACCACCTGTAAATGAAAAAAAAACTCAATTAAAAAAAATATCCAGACTTACCTGTAACATACCAACTATTTCTACTTTATTAAAAAATATGAATGAATGAAGAGTAGACAACATGTTTTCCTCAAATACTGAAGGAGTAGGTAGAACCATATCTTGAATATACTGTACTCTGTATGTCTGGTGTATTTTTTGTTTCAGCTCCGGATCAGATATTGGAATAACTTCTTTAAATTTTGCAGTTTTTGTCAGAAATTCCCTGTGTTTCCGTGACTGTGATAAAGAAGGATCATATTCTAGACATCCAATTACATCCATTATACATTCTTCAGAAAACATGACTTCAAAAAGTGCAGTTCTATTCAAGAGGAAGATTCCCTTAATAATTTCATACAAATGATGTAGTCCTTCAGTATTTTCCAAGTCCTCACACACGTGAAAAATTTCTAAGAGTTTTTTTATGTAGCCCTCATTTTCAAGTGCTAAAGCAAGTTTTTCACGCCGCAATGGGGAAGGCAGTGAAGATGCCACAAGTTCTGCAATCTCTTCTAATCGATTTAATTCACAGGATGGTAACTCTAGACCTGGAGATGACATATCATCAAAACGTTCCTCTTCAGATTCATCCACAAGATCCTGAGTAATGTCCACTGAAGGGTCTTTTCCCTGAACCTGTTAAGTGAAAGAAAACTAGATAAGTATACCATTTCAGTTGCTAAATATCTGCAAGCATATACAGATATATTACTATAAAATGTTATTTTAATAGAATTGAGAATTATAGATCTGCATCAATAAATGCAAAATGAAGCACATTAAAAATTAAATACACTACCAAACACCATAGAACAAAGTCATGAATCAAGGAGTTCAATTACATAAAAGGCTATGATGTTGTAGCTAGTATTTCTAATGAATATATACATTAAAAATTAAACATAACAAAATGCTTAAAATAACATTTTTTATATAATCACTAATAGTATATAACACTTTTCGATACGTTCATCACTCTTTCTTAACAGCCTCAGAATATTATGTAAGCATGTACTTTTATATTTTGACTTACAATATTTCTAGTTCAACATATTCATTTTAACTGTTGTAAATTGCCCTGAATTTATCCTAAATGAAGACTGCATATAAATAATATATGGTTTTCCAGATGGTGACAGACCCTTCTATTTTAAATTGATGTTTACCAGTTTCCTGATCTATACAGGTAGTCCACAAGATATGAAAGGTCACTTAAGGCCATGGTCCCCAACCTTTCCTGCTCCAACGGGGTGGGGTGAAAGGGGATGGTTCCTTGCGAGTGGTAGGCATGCGTGCAAGTATGCACAGTTCCACTAGCTGTGAGCCACTTGCCACTTGAACAAATGGAGCTGCGAATGTGAATGTGTGCACCTGCCAGTCATGCAAACAGAGCTGTGCGCAGGAGTGTGCCCAACCACTTGTGTGGCCCAGTTCCAGTTAGTGTACTGTGGTTCGGGGGTTGGGGATCCTGAGTTAAGGAATATTCAAAGTTATGACAGACACTCTTATATTATATATGACCCTAATTTAAGTTACGATGGCTACATTTATCCTTTACGATTGATCCCCTGACAAAGCAACTTGTCCCCAGACCACATGGCAGGAACACGAACCTGGCCATTTTGGAGCCAGGACAAATAGCGGCCACTTCCAACATTGCATCCAGCAACTCTGCAAAGAAGCAATCTATTCCAATGTTCTAGAAGTCTTGTGGTTTTTCAAAAAGTGAGGGGGATGTTTGGCCTGGTGGGGTGAGAATCAATACTAAGGTTTGGGCAAACCTGGTGGGAGTGGAAAAAGGCCTTTGGAGACCACAGGGGCGGAAAATGGAACAAAGGGATCTTGGGAGAATGAGGCAGGTCTTGGGAGGGGCAGGACAGGTGGGCTAGGCCCCCAAGGGCCTCCCCAACCTGAATTGCATTTAATGACCTGCATTTTCATTTAATGACTCATTGAGGAAAGCAGGGATGGGGGTCATTAAATGAAATGCTTCATTTAATGCCAATTGTAACATGTGACCGTAATAGGCAGGTTCCATTGGTTTTTTCTTGAGGACTACCTATATATGCAAAGCTAAAAATAAGCTCAGATTAGAATATAAACATTTGCTCCTGATATCTTAGTGCTACTTATTTTGTGAGTTATGAATCTGCACTACACCCCAACAATATACAGGCATAATATTCCCCTCTGAAAAAATAATCGGGGCTGGCCAAGAGACCCCCCCCCACCGCGCGCCAAGAAATCGCTGCCCAGCTCCCTTTTCCTGCCGCTCAGCGGGCTCCGCTCACACCGCCCAGGCTCCGCTCAGGTATCCGGCTGGGGCTGTCAGGAGTTGCTACCGCTGGCGCGGCTCCGCGCAGCTCCAGTCCCGCATTGCCTCGGGAAGGGAAAGGCAAAACCAGGAGCCGCTGCTGCCGTTGCAAAGCGTCGCCGCGGCTCTTCCTTTTTGCCTTTCCCTTCCTGAGGCAACGCGGGACTGGAGCCACGCAGAGCCGCGCCAGCGGTAGCAACTCCTGACTCGGGGCCTCTGAGGGGAGGGGAAGGAGGAGAAGAAGGGGGGGAAAGGGGGGGCGATTCCCAAAAAAATCGGAATTCTGATTTTAATCGGAAGAATATCATGTCTGAATATAAAAGAGTGGGTGACTTTTTTATTGAACTTGTCCATAATCAAGAAGTCTAAATGTTTTGTTTAGTAAGGCGAGACAATGCTTTGAATTTGTAAGGAGAAATGTTTCAGAGCAAAAAGGAACATAAATACAGTATAACACTCATCTGGAATTTGTTAGAAGAGCTGCAAATAATCTCAGGAAAAGGTATATTTGGCATAAGAAGTTGTAGATTTATGCTGTTTTTCCCCCCTGCTATTCCCTAAAGCCCCTTTTTGCATTCAAATCAAAAGTGTTACATAGCTGTATTATTTAACCTACTTACAGAAGTCAACTTTAATCTAAACCCAACTCCGTTAGATTATTTCCAACTAAAGTTCTGAAAACACAGTGTATGAATTTCAATAGGCGAAACTTTTGGGGAAAATGGTGATAATTATTTAGTATTGTTAATTGTATTAATTATGGCAGATAAACATTCAAGGTACACATCTTACCTGACATATTTTTTCCCATATTTCATCACAACCAGCCTTTTCTTGAAAGCTAAGAGCCAGGTCATAGTTCTCCGCTTCAGACCACACAATCAGCGTGTCCTTCAAAATTAATAAATATATACATAGGTACATAGGTATTTACTAGAGCTGTAGGCAGTCAGGACATGCAAAGCAGTTTTATAGAACTGCTCTGAGTAAAAATACTACACATCTGGTAACACCTCCTCAAAGAAGTGGCGTCTTTTTGTGGGCTCACATGATAATCCTAACCAACATGTGCATTTGAGGTAAGAAAGTCAACAAGCTGCTTCAGAAGAGAAACGGGCCTTCCAGAAATACCGGAAGTGCCAAAATGGGCCCGTTTTTCAGCCTCCCGAGACTGCAGAGGCTTCCCTCGAGCCTCTGGGAGAGGCAAAAACAGCTTCAAACGGGCCGAAAATCAGCTGGGAGGTTTGTGCATGTGCAGGTAAGGGGGTGGGACAGGGGGTATTGCGCGCGCATGTGCAGTGGGGGCGAGTCACATTGTATTGTGGGTGCTGGCATGCACGCCTGTGCTATCGCACGGATGAGTGCTTTCGGCACACCACAACAAAAAGGTTCACCATCACTGTGCTAGAGGTTCACAGCACAGATAAGAACATTTTTGTCAATCAACTTGAAATCTATGAATTAGAAATTAATATGTAAGATTTTCACAATGACTCTTGTTTGGTATTCTATTTTAACTTTAATAAATTGTTGTAATTTTGTTTTATCAAGATAAGCATATAAATTCTTCATCTTTATAAACATTACAGTTCATATAAAGAAGTAATATCAAATATCTTCAGTTTTTAACTAATTACAAAGAAATAAAACTGACTAAACTATTACCTGTTGCTTCTGATAGGCAGTATTAGGGTTGATTTTGGACTCCAAAAGTAGAGAACCTAAAGAGTAGGGAAAAATGTAATATTTATTAAAGCAAATTATTTATTAAACATATTTATTATGGCTTCCCAATTCACACATAGGTGACTCCGGAGGCTTACAACATTTAAAAATCCAACACATAAAAACCTCATTCCACCCTCAAGGCAGAGGCAAAATAATCAAATCAACCATTTGACTGGTTCCATTTCCATTTGTGCAGCATATTTTGTGCTCATAAAATATATTTTAAATGTGCATAGCATTCACATTTTAAAATTAAGAGACCTATCTATTAGTAGATAACACATGCCTATTTAAAGAGTAATTTGAATATTTATCTATAGGGAGTTCTTCTAGGAACTGACAATGATTAAATCAGGAAATATTTAAAATTAAAGCAAAAGTTAGACTGGATAAGCAGACTTTTTCAAGTTTATCATTCTGGATGTGTTTTCTAATAAATATTAAATATGATAAAAACTATGTGAATCCACACCTTTTCTAAGCTTTTGGAAGGCATAAACAGAAAGTGCCTATATTTCTGATTGTGCAGAACAATGACAATGATACAAAGATAAGCTAAAAAAAGCTAGTACTAATTTTCTAAAAACAGCCCCACATATAAAATTGTGCTTTATAAGCCACATTAACTGGCTCAGTCACACTACTGAACACTAATCATTTAAAAATATTAGGTGACAATATGAACTTTCCAGGTTTGAAAATAATTCCTAAAGATTATTTCCCAGAGCACTGAAACTACTGATTTGAGCTCACTGTCTGTCAGAAAAAAGCAACATTCTGTATGCAATACAGAATATTTTCCCCTACCATTACCATTTTATAATTTATCAAATCAGTGGCTCAAACGTTCCCCCCCCCCCAATGTGATATTATCCAGATATGCTGGATGTACAATTATGAAATCTGGGAACTGTAATCTACAGCATCTCCAAGCTCCAGATTATATTTGCTTTAATTTATAAACTACACAATTTCAATGGACTCTGGGTGATCTACCATACAAAACCTGAAAAATATATAAAACAGATAAAACATATTGGTAAGGTTGAGTATCAGTTGAAAAATAAGGATGGTGGCAAAGTGAAGAGGTATTTATGTCAAACAGAGACAACAATCTTATTCCTGAAACTGATTCCCAGTGTAACTGACATTGTCAGAGCTATGTTAATATCTCTTTTATAATACAATTGTATGAAGCATTTTGAAAATAACTAAAAATTCTTAAAAAATAGAAACAACACTGACTTTAATCACATACTAAAGTTGCTTTTAAAGTTATCATCTCCTCAAAGCTCAACTAGAAGAAGTTTTGTATTGCTAAAATGTCCTAATGTTAATGGTTAAAATATTAACACCCTCACCAATAATGGTGTATTTAGTTATAATGGTTACCTTAGAGCACAAAGATAAAGTTCACTGAAATTGACATGGGAAATTTTCACAAAATACTAAAAACATTTATATTATTTATATATATTAATATAGAAATGGAGCAAGTATTTTCAGTAGTATACTTTTTCCCTAAAAAATCTGCTTTAAATAAGCCCAGAAAAAAACTAGATGGAAATTTCTTATTAGGATGGGTTAAAGTGCTATATTGATTTTACTGCTTTACAACTTGTCACCAGAAGAGGTGAGCTATATAACAAAATGCACTTTGACAACAAACTTCTACCTACTTTCCTAGGTGCAAAATCCTCTAAATAGTAGATTTTAATAGTCATTTTGCACTGCACTGGTTTGCAGGATAAACAAATAACAATAGGTAAAGCATCACAAATTGTTATTTTGAATGGTATGTAAATAAACATCTACATACCATTCAAAAAACAAAAAGGAAACAAAAGCCCAAAACACTGCCTTGCCAGCAATCAACACCCAGGTGAGTAGAGGTAACACCAAGATTAACTTTAGACCAACAATTAAGAAGCAAACAATACTCCAGTCAAGAAGTTTCCAACTCAAACTACCCAACAGTAAACAGTTTAATTAAGGAACCACCAAGAACACGCCCACCAACAATGACAGGGCAAGGCACTAGAATATAAAAAGAGAGCACTCCATTCTAAGCACATTACCTAGTTAAGTAATGAAAATAGCCAACCTTAGAGAGCACCAGAGATCCTACACATTATTTTTTTTTATCACATCAGCCCTATATCTGATGCTACTAAATTCTGTGCCACTGGAACATGCTGGACTTTTCTAATCATATGAGTGAGGCTATTTGGGTAGGTCTTTGTGGCTTGCCACAAAGATGCTGATTAGATGAAGAGGACACAGGTTTTCTGTCCATATGGTTCCTTTGTACACAACAGATTGCCCAGTAATGAGGAATGACAACAGTGGTGCACATTTACATCCATGCCCCCCTCAAAAAAAACCCATTCTTTAAACATTATAGGCCTGTCTCAAAAAGTATTTTCAAGGTTTCAATATATCCTATCTGATGCTTTTTTTACAACAATAGTGTGTTCCTTAATGGTAATGATTAAAATGATTGCCTAAACTCAACGTATGAATGCCCATAGAATAAAAATCATGAAAATGTGTGCAAGTACTCATAATCAAAAGAAGACTGTCACAAAATCATAGGGCTAGAAGGGAAATCTTCTAGTCCAACTCTCTGCCAGGAAAGCTTAAGTAAAGCTTTCTTTACTTGATCCACAGTAATTTCCTATAGACCTGTCATAAAACTATGTCTGGATCAAAGGTGCTTTTCAAGAGGCATCTGGACTTCCAGAAAGTCCAGTTGCTTCTTGAAAAAGCATCTTTGGGACAACCATGACCTGGATGACTGAGAATCTGTATAGACATATAATGTCTGGAGTTCAATTTGTTCCTCAACCACCAACCCCACCTCCCAAGGACATATACTATTCAAAGTATAATCTTGTTATGATGGACCATATAAGGGACCATGAGGGTTGGCTAGGGGAAGATCAAATGCATCTTGCTATCCAAAATGTCACACAGTTTATATTCTGTTTGGTGGGCAATACTGATCTATTTACAATCAGTATTTACAATGTCAGGAATGTCACAGAAATATATTATTATATTAATACATCCAAATGAGGGATATCACATTTTTAGCATAATAAACATGTTATATTTGTAATAATCTGTTGCAACCTTCTAAAGTTATTTTATATTCTGAGTCTATTTGACTATTTGGTTAAAATTATGACCACCTCACTGTGTTTTAACTTTAACCAAAGCAAATACATCCCTAAATTAGGATCAGATTGGAATATTTTATGCACATATTAAAAAGAAATCCCATTGAAATGAATGTGACTTTCTTTCAAGTAATGACATACTGAAACTGGTGGCAAATGGATTCCAGTTTTATTTTCCCTCTTCTTGCTTTTAGAAGAAAAACCTTCAAACTTGTTATTTGAAAACTGCAGTTTCACTTATATGATTAAAAACACAAGAATGACATGGCCGAATAGCCAGTACTAGTACATTGAGACAAGATGGGATTTGAAATTTCATTGGTATTAATTAAAACAGATAGGATATATTGAAACCTTTAAAATTCACTTCTGCTTCACAAAATACAAAAAGATTTTATATGTAAATAGAGACATGCTCTTAAACTCCCAACTTTGGAAACTGTGTAATTATCATTTAACATGCTCAAATTATGGATTCCACTTATTTGAAGAAGGGAAGTTAATGGATTGGGTTTGTTTTTATTAAAAAAGCCATTTTTTTTCCTACAGGATATGGAAAACATGATGAAGTATTTTAAATAGTCTACAAAGTTTCTACGCTAATACAGTATAAAGATCTGGAGACATCTTGTTAAATATTTGGCCATACAGTATTTTAATGGTCTATACACCATTAAGTTAAACAGAATTCTATAAGCTTAAACAATTAGGTTATTTAGGTATCATAGGAAAAGTTCTATGGAAGTTTAATGAAAACTTTAAATAATTAACACTAGCCATAGTCTGCCATCCAGAAGAATTTAAAGTCACATACTTTGATGACTGTTAGGCAACTTACATGAACACAGATGGAAACTGTCTTTTGTGAAAGCTATCATACAGAAAATAGTCCTTACCTGATTCTTACCCTCTCAATTTAAGCAATACAAAAATTCATTGCCCCACATCTATTTATTAGCATGTGCCAGAGTTCATTAATACAAGGATTAATATATTTGATGCATACTTGTTCAGTTATACTTACCATCACTTTCTGCCCTGACAAGCAGGGACATGCCCTTCAGCCTTTCCACATAGCCAGAGGACACATGTCCAGTGCCCCGATCATCCCATTGTCTGTCTTCATTTAATGTATAAACCTTCACTCTCCTCCGAGTATCGGTCATTCTGCCTTTTCCAAACCACAAGGGTCTGTGATAGTCTATCAAGAAAAGCTCTGATGGGAGGGGGGCTTTGCCCCCCACAATGAAGGGGAGCAGAAAAGGGAGCAAGAGTCCCACACAATACCCCAAACAGATCTTTTTATCGTTACCGTTAAAATAACTGCCTCATCACCCCAAAAGGGGGGAAACTTAAAACAGGAGGCAACGCTACCAGGGGAGCACAGAACTTTTTTTCTGTCAAAATGGTAGCTTTGTAGGAAAGGGGAAAAACAGGAAATAAAAACGCAAAAGATTTCGAAGAGAAGGACTAGAAGAGACACCAGGAGAAAATGAAAAGAGGACGATGAAAATGGAAACCGGTCAGTTCAGAGAGGAATCTAGACGATTCAAAGCAGAAAAAAACCCACAAATAATTCACCAGTGCAGACGACTAACGCTGCTTAGGGGGCAGATGAGGTGAACCGAAAAGCAGCAAGTGGAAAACAGGCCCGTGACAGGAAAAGTGGGAAGGATTAGCCGGCCCTGCAAAAAGCCTTCAAAAGAAGAGGTAAAAACGCCACGGGGACAGGGAGGAAAATCCGTGGATACCGCCGGGACATCCTCAGGAGAAGGGGGAGAAGAGGCCAGCGGAGGGGAACGGGGAGGCAGGGGGAAAGGGGGTCAAATCTCCCCCTCGACCAGGCCTATTGTGCAAAGGCGCTGCTAGGCCCGAAGCCCCTTTCCTCGCGCTCCGTTAGCCAAGCGAAGGGACCGAAACGGAACCGCCCCTTCTTCCCAGGGAAGGCCACGACCTAAAAGGGGGCCGCCGCGCTTGCTGGGACGGGGGTGGGGGTGGGGGGTGAGGCGGGAAGAGGAAGGTGCCCGCGTGGGGCTGAATGGCACGCGGCGTGGCCGCCCGTCTCCTGTGGCGTGATCCTCACGAGCAGCGATGACTGCACTCTCAACGCGATGCCGCCGCCATGTTCTTCCTGCGCTCGCTCTTCCGGATGCTGCCGGCACTCCCGCCAAGCTCCCTCGTCTCTTTCACGCCGCCAGAGCCCTTCCGTACACCCGGCAAAGAAGCGAATCCCCTCCGCGGGTGGGGAGGATGGCTGAAGCGGTGGCCGTCCCCTGCCCTTCTGTCTCAGCCTCAGTCACTATGTGGCCGCCATCTTGGTTTCACCTCTCACTGGCGATACGGGGTCTCCCAGCCGAAGGCAGCACGGGCCGGGCGCGAACACTTAAAGGGCCCGCAGCCTTCAGGAAAGCCGTGAGGAGACGAGGCTCTGGTTGAACGGTGCGCGCTTCGCACCTGTCTCCTTGACAGAGTGGGGATCACGGAGCACTTTCCTGTGAGAAAGCAGAAATGCCATCCTGCGAACAATTAGGATGTTCGCCCTTGTTTTATTTCTTTTTGCTGCAGCCAAGACCGTGTTCTAAAAGATACTTTTCGCACAATTAAGTAGCAAAACAACAACAATAACAACTATATCTACCTTATTTGCCCGGGTTTGGGAACTGGCTTTCCGTATATCCTAAAGCCTATTATTGGAAAACGTTCCTTCGGGTGGACTACCAAAGCAGGCTGAGGTAAAGATGGCAGGACTCACAACAAATAAATGAGCAGCAATTTTGTAGCTTTGAATGCTCACAACTAGCAACTAATTAATTTTATAGCCACCCACTTTATGAGCCATAATTGCGTGGTTCACAGCAACGGTGACAACATTAAAAAAACAACAATAAAAGCCAACATTGGACATACACTCCAACACCCAGTACCCTAAACTGACACTCCCCAATATGCTCCAAAAAGCCAACTAAAGCCCTTCAGAACATCTTAAGCGAACCAAAAGACCCAGCAACCTCAGAAGAAAAAAACAGGAGTCATCTACATCAGTGGTTCTTAACCTTTTTGAAAGAATCGCCCCTTGAACCATTGAGGAAGTTATCATCGCCCTCCTCCCCCAACATAACCTCTCAATCACAACACAGGGAAATAACTCTTCAGTTTATGCAAATACATTTTTTGTTTTCTTTAAAATTGTCATCAGGACATATCGATGCAAATAATTTATTTCCAGTCATTTTCCCATATCTCAACTGTGTGAAAAATTCTAATGCCACCCATCACTTTACTCCCAAACTTCATGATACATGTATTTCATTATTATCTTATTTATTTAAGACACTTAAATGCAATGACCACTGAAAACAAAATTCAATTGCAAGAAAATGAAATGCCCGAAAAAAAAGTAACATTTAATGATTTAATTACAAGTGAATTTTAAGATGCAAAAAGAAATATAAAAAGGGCATAAGAACAAACTGCAATGCAGGAACTAAGAATTTCAAGACAAAAACTCTGAAACTAAATTAAGATTCGAGGAAAATATATATTCATGCACACTGTAAAAAGGGTTAAAAAGACACAAAGAAAATTTTTACAGAAGGAAAGCAACAAAAATCAGAGCGACAAATTTAATGGGTAGAGTGATAGAGGCTGCTGCTCAACATGCATGAAGATGAGTGATGCGTATTCACATATGTACAGCATTCTGTACTGAACCTAGCTGGAGGAACATTTTAAAACACAGTTCAATCCACTAATAGCGAAGGATCTGATGTTTTTGTACGATAGATATACAGTGGTTCACTGTACGAAAAAAGTCTCAAAAGTGTCCCCAAAACTTCTCGCTCCATCGCCCCCATATCACCCCCCCTTCCATTCCTTTGCCCCGCGTTGCCCCTTTTCATTCTATCACCCCCCTGAAAAATGAAATTGCCCCCTGGGGGGCAATATCACCCAGGTTAAGAACCACTGATCTACATCATACAATGTAAGAACTGCAACAATCACTATGTAGGACAAACAGGCAGATGACTGGCAGAAAGCATCCATGAACACCAACTAGTAGTCAGAAGACATGATGAAAATTCTTTGATTTCACAACATATAGGCAGATTTAACCATCGTTTCAATTGGGAAAATGTGACAATCCTAGAGCAGGCCAAGTTCAAAAATGCCAGGGAATTTCTAGAAGCCTGGCACTCTTGACAAATCAGCTATCAATAGACACATAGACATTAACTGTCGTGTCCGGCGCAGGAAGGAAGCTCGGAGTCAGTGACACAGTTCAGCTCTTTATTGTGCTCCAGTACATGCTTGGGGAAAGGAAGGAAAAAACCCGGCTTTTATTTCCAAGCCGCGGCGGCCCGCGGCCAATGACATCGTTTCGAATCTCCCGCTCTTGGCTCGACCAATAGCGGGAGATTCTTAACGGACCAATCCGGGCGGCTTGCCCGACCAATCCGGTTGCCGCGCGCTTTAGCCAATCGCAGCGCGGGGTTTGCAAGTATGTTAATTCTTTGTACAGAACACCCCTCCCCTCTTGGTTCGTTCCTACGCAACGTAGTCCCGTAAGTAGGCGGGACTCCGTACTTGTCTACTGGACCTGCGCAGGTCAGTTGTTTCCTGGTTCCCGGCCTGTTCGGTCGGGGTTTTTGTTGCTCTCAGTCTATTTGATGGGATCGTCTGGAGTGTGGGCCTGCTGCTGCAGCTCCCTCCCGGTCTACCCGGGTTGGTCGAGCTGCGGCTTTTGCCGCTCCCGCTGGGTCTTTCCGGGCTGGTTGAGCTGGCTTGGCTGCTTTTCCTTGGTGCGGCTTCGGGTTGGCTGTTATCTGGTGAGTATAGTTGGTTGTGTTCTATTCTTTCTTGGTCTCCTGCATTTTCCCTCCCCCCTTGGTTAGTGTTAATGGGGTTGTCTGTGTTTGCTTGCGTGTCGGTTGTGTTTTTTATTCGAGATCTTAACTGATCTATGTGGCGTTTCCATGCTTGTCCGTCCGTTGTTTGTAGTCTGTATGAATGGGGACCTGTTATTTGGGTTATAGTTGCCGGTACCCATAGTGGGTCTCCGGTAAGGTTCTTTGCGTAGACTGCATCGCCTGGTTTAAATGCCCGGTGTTTGCTTGATGAGTCCGGGGGCTTCTCCGGGTTGTATGTGGGGTGCAGTCTGTCTAGTGGGGACCTTAGTTTCCTCCCCATCAGTAATTCTGCCGGGCTTTTGTTTGTTGTCGTGTTAGGGGTTATATGTTGTATTAGAAGCATTTTATTTATTTTTTCCTGTATATTCCCGTGCTCGATTTTCTGGATGGTTTTCTTTGTGAATTGGACCATCCGTTCTGCCCTATCGTTGGCCGCCGGATGAGCCGTCGCTGTCAAGGCGTGTCGTATGCCCTTTTCTGCTAGGAATTTTTCGAATTCCAGCGAGGTGAATTGGGGCCCGTTGTCCGACACGACGACATCAGGAAGGCCGTGGGTCGCGAACAGTTTATTTAGTACCCTGGTGACGGCTTCAGTTGTGGTGGTTTTCATGTCGCTTACCTCCAGCCAATTGGAGTAAGCGTCCACCGTGATGAGGAATGTGTGTCCCCTAGTGGGACCGGCAAAATCTATATGTACTCTAGACCATGGTCCCCTGGGGGTCTCCCATTCTAATATTGGCGCGGCAGGGGGATTTGGTCTGGTTTCTTGGCAGCGTGAACACCTGGCCACCCACCCTTCAATTTCTTTGTCTATGCCTGGCCACCACGCGTAACTTCTGGCCAAGGCTTTTGTTCGTACGATGCCTGGGTGCCCATCATGCAGAAGTTTTAACACTTTCCTTTGCAACTTCTCCGGTACGGCCACCCTGTCCCCCCATAACAAACAACCTTTCTGTAGAGATAGTTCGGTTTGCCTGTTTCTGAAGGGTTTGAATGATTCGTCATTGTCTTTTTCCGGCCACCCTTTCTCTACCCAGTGCAATACCTGCGCCAGACGTTTGTCTTTATTTGTTTCTCGGGCAATGTCTGACGCGGTTATGGGCAGATCGGGTAGCGCCTCTATGCTGAGGGTGGTCGTCGTGGGTGCTGGGTCGTCGTCGAGGTCGGGTAATGGTGAACGGCTTAGTGCGTCTGCATGGGTGATTGTCTTACCGGGGCGGTGTGTGAGCCGGTAGTCGTAAGCGGCGAGGAATTCGGACCACCTTGTCATCCTGGGGGATATGATGTTCGGTGTGGCCCTGTTTCCCGCCAGGATTCCTAGCAACGGTTTGTGATCTGTGATAATTGTGAATCGACGGCCGTAAAGATACTCGTGGAATTTCTTTACGGCTGCGACGATGGCAAGGGCTTCCTTGTCTAGTTGGCTGTAGTTTCTTTCTGGCTTGCTAAGTGTTCTTGAGAAAAATGCAATGGGTGCTTCTTTTCCGTCCGTTAGGGTATGGCTGAGGACGGCACCGACGCCAAAAGGTGAGGCGTCGCATGTGACGGTAAGGGGTAGAGTCTCGTTGTATTGTATGAGGACGGCGTCCGAGGTTAGCAGGTCTTTTGTTTTCCTGAATGCGGTTTCCTCACGCGTCCCCCAGGACCATTTTGTTGTTTTATCCAGTAGCCTATGCAAAGGCTCCGCCGCGGTTGCCTTTTGGGGTAAGAACACGTTATAAAAATTGAGTAGTCCCAGAAATGCCTGTAACTCTGTCTTGTTTTTGGGGGTCGGGGCTTCCTTGATGGCTTTTACTTTGTCCCTGGTCGGGTGGATGCCATGTCGGTCTAGGAGGTATCCCAGAAACTCGACTTTCTCTGTGTAAAGTTGGCATTTTTCCCTTTTCACTTTTAACCCGGCCCCTTTGAATTTCTCTAGTACTTCCCTTAGGCGACCCTCTAGTTCTTCCCGGTTGGTTGCTGATACTAGTACGTCATCGAAGTAAGGGACCACCCCTTTTATTCCTTGTAGGAGTCTCTCCATGAGGCTTTGAAAAATCCCCGGGGCCACGCTGACTCCAAACTGGAGTCGGTTACAACGAAACGCCCCCCGGTGGGTGACAATAGTCTGTGCTTCGGCGGTTTCGTCATCGACCGGCAGCTGCTGATAGGCTTGTGCTAGGTCGAGCTTCGCGAAGACTTTGCCCCCCCCCAGTGAGTGAAGTAGATGTTGCACGACTGGGACGGGGTATGCGCTTTGTTGCAGGGCGCAGTTGAGGGTGGCCTTATAGTCCCCACAAATCCTTATTGACCCGTCTGGCTTAACTGGGGTGACTATTGGGGTCTCCCACCGGGCGTGATCAATTGGCTGCAGAACCCCCTGTTTGACGAGCTTGTCAAGCTGCTCGTCTATTTTCCCCCGAAGCGCGAAAGGCACCCGCCT